TGGAAAGGGTGGCAAAGGAGCATTGTATCAATTATTCTAGACATGCAAAGTTTCTTGCACTGTCCTCTGAAGCGTCTAGTGGTGGCCGCTGCTGGACCAGATCGAGCCCGAATCTGATACAGTCTGGTGACTCCTGTGTTCCTATACCCCACAAGGGCTTTTCAGCACCATGGCAAATGCGCTTTCTGCCTCTCCCGCTCATTTCCTCTTGCGTCGCATTCAGATCCCAGGGAGGCTTGATACTCTGTATAAGAAAGAGTCAAGACACTGCTGTTTGGCGGCCCATGTGAGGAGGTGGGACGTGGGTGCTGCCGCTCCGGGGCTAGGGCCTGTGGGGGAACATGGCGGGTGGCTGGTTGGTTGCGGTGGCTGGAGATGCCGTTCCCTTCTCGTGCTCAGTGTGTGGGTGTCATTCCAGATTCTGGGAAAGGCCGCGGATTCTGCTGCGACCTCTGCAGCTCTCCTTACCTTGTCGACCCCAGCCGCAGAGGCAACCAGCTAAAGACCTCTAGCTCTCTGCCTTCTCCACGCCACAAACAGGATCCCAGGACAGGCCAGGTGCTGACGCTCTGCAACGCATGTGGTGAGGGAAAGCGCTGTCCTGTGGTCTGTGCCAGGCTGAGCTGGGCATTATCTGATGGACGTACCTTATGTTCAGTATCCGTCTCGTCCTCCTGTTCAAAGGATGCTGCAATCCTGCCCCCTGCTGGGGGAAAAATGCATGCATGTATTGAGCCATCCAGCCACTGCGCTGTGATGTGTTGAGTATCTTGGCCCAACAGCCAGTCTGTATGTAGGGCCCAATCCAGCTCCTACTGAAAATTGGTGGCAAAATTCCCTGTAATAGGAAGAGGGTCAGGCCTTTATGATCTTCTCCCAAAGTCTATTCTCTGATTAGATCTGCGCAGGTGAGCGCTGGGCAGCCCTCGCCCCGCCCCCGATGTCTGGTCATCTTTGAACATCTCTTGCCTCATGTTCCCCTCCCCTCCCCATCGAGTGGTGTCATCGGCCTTTGCCTTTATCCGCTGCCACCCGGGTGAGATCCAGGAGCTGCAACATGTGCAGACTGACCTTTCCCTGCAAACAGTCCCCCAAGCCCTTCACTCCGATCCCAGGCACGTCTCTGCTTGGTTACTGTCCCAGGCATATAGTCCTGGTGTCAAGCCCCAGAGTGACATGGAGAACGTCAGTGGTGTTGTAGTAACTGGTATCACCGAAGCGTCTGTAGGTTTTTTAGCAGTAGCTGGGGGGTTGGGGGTGACGTACTGGGATCAGGCCTCTGTTACGTTAGGAGCTCTGCTCTGCATGTACGTGTGAAAAATGCAAAATATTACAGCTCGTCCCTCAGTATCTGTAATAACCATTGTCTGTAACTCCTCCGGGGGCGGGGATATCCCCCTAGGTCTGGCACTCGCCAGGCCTCGGAGCACTCCGAACCCCGCGAAGGATCCTGGGCCGGATGAGAGGAAGCGGCATGAAGAGCAGCTGCAGGCGTTTGGACGGGCCATGGTGGAGCTGCTCGGGGACCAGGATGGGAGCAAGCTCTGCTGTCCTGCCTACACCAGGAAACCCTGCCTCTGTCTCCAGAATTATCTCAAAGCCCCAGGTGAGTGGAGCGGGAGCCTAGAGTAGTATAACATAGTGCTGTTAATCCCAGAGCTCGGTACTTAGTGCACTACTGAATGCAGCCATTGCTGGGGTGGAGGGTGGCAACCAGCGAGTGTAGAACGTGCTAGTGACAGGGATGGGACATGTTAGCTAGAACACTGGGACGTACTTGTACCCTTTGAAAACTGCCGTGAGCATGGTGTCCCTCTACAGTCGTCTTGGAAAGCCCCACACGTCGGGACCTGTACAGATCTCTGTTCATCCGACTCAGAAAGCGGGGAAGGGCTGGGTTACCCCGGCCAGTATACCAACCTGAGGTCCCAGGTTGTTTAAAACTTCCACCTACTAAGTACGGGAAACATTCCTGGACCACTGCAATGGTGCCGTAATGCTATCGGGAAGATTGACCGAGACACGTGGCTTAGTCCATGTGCTTCTTGAAAAGTAGCTCAAGCATTCACGTGGCCCATCCAGAGAGGGCACTGGCTGTAACTCCCAAAGGGTGGCACCTTGCTCCACCGCTGCCAGTGTCTGCTTTGAGCTATTGGCCCACACCCTAGGGTGGGATTCGAACCCACAACCTGGTGGCGCACACAGTGAGGGTGCCATCAAGTGAGCCATAAAAAATAGTGCCCAGCATTAGTGCAATGCAAGGAGGGAAGGAGGCTAGGTCCTGTGTGTGCTGCCAGCCAGAGCCCCCTCAATCCCAGCCTCTCAGATCCAATCCCACGGGCCTCCCCTTCATGGAGGGCTTGGCAGCTCCTCGGAGCTGGGCACAACTCTTTGTAGAGCTCCACGTCCACACATGGGTCCATGTCCGACTCCCTGACGTGCTGACATGCTGCTCCCGTGGCAGGGCTGGGTGAGAGCGAGAGCCGGACACGAGCCCTCGAGTTCTTGAGGTTGCTGCAGGAATCCAAGCGACTGAAAGCCGTGAAGTTCTGCAGCGCCGGGGACAGCCAGCAAGCCCGGGAGCCCAGGAGGCAAGGAGTGGGGTGGGGTGAAGCCCATGGGGAATAATGGAGCAGCACGTCCCCTAGCTGAGGGGTGGCGCGCATGGGCAGAGCCTTCCCCAGGCAGGATTCTCCATCAGGGCGACCTCAAATGTGTTGCTGCCGGGGCTCGCCCAGCTGACTCATGGGGCAACGCCGATAATCATGGACAAGAACAGAGTTTAGGGTGACGCCTGATCCCTTTCAGTCCAGAGAGAGAGACCAACAGGGAAGGGATTTTGGGCGATGACGTGCTACTGTCTCACGTGTCCATAGGCTCCCAAGGCCTCTGCAGACCCAAGGGGCAGAACTGGCTGGTAGCCAGCCTAGCTGGTTTTTGAGCGGCTATGTTGTCCAGTGATTAGAGCAGGGGACTGGGCCTTGGGATTCCTGGGTTCTTTTCCCAGCACCGTTATGAATTCAGTGTTTGGGGCAAGTGCTTTCCCCTGCCTTTCTCCAGTTGTGAAATGGGGGGTAGGCACCCTGATTCTGAGGCCCCGTGCCAAGGGCACAGCACTGTCCTCTTGATTTCCTCAAGGAGGCAAGCCGTCGGGCTGGTGAGCGGCCAGCGGAGATCTCGAGCCTTCGAGGACTTTGTCCTGAAGAACCGGAGGGTGTTGCGTGAAGAGCTGAAACTATGCGAGAGAGCCACGCAAAGGATTCTGGGATACTCCAACAACTTCCTGCATAAAAAGCTCAAAACAAGCAGCCAAGTAAGTTGAAATATGAATTCTCCCCCCCACCCCCCGAGGATGGGGCCGTGTGGTGCTAACCAGTCTAGTGACGGGGGGTGGGGGTGCGGAGTTACACCCCAAGAGGGTTGCTAGTGGAAGCCTGGTTTCCCCTACAGAAGCCTGCCAGAGTTGAGCGGAAGAAGGGGAAAGGGGCTCTGGGGCTCCTCAAGCCCATTGCAGAACTCGGCGAAGAGAAGTGCTGCGCGGCCAACTGCACTGCAGTAAATACTCCGGGGCCCCCACACTGCAGGGACGGGGGTGTCAGGGATGCCGGGCTCGCAGGAGCAGTGGGGCCGATCACGCCTTCAGAGCAAGTCAGTCAGATACAAAAAAATAATAATGAGCGTCTGGCATACCAATGCCTCTCTGCCAAAAGGTCCCAGGGGTTAGAGCTAGGGGGACTAAAAGCCAAAGCTCCTGGGTTCTAATCCTGTCTTTGCCTCTGATTCACTGTGAGACTCTGGGCAAGTCACTTAATCTGTTTGTGCCTCAGTTTCCCTAACTGTCAAATCTTTAAAATAAAACAGTCCAGTCTCCAGGGCTCTCTTCCTTTCCCTAGACTGCATTGAGCATTGGCCCAATGTGTTAGTCTGTCCTCTTCTTGCTCCACATGCCTGAGAGGTGGGTGTCCAGCCTGCTTTCACTCTGATGGGGGTGGATCAGGCGGCCTGGCGTGTATATGGACGGTACCATATAGCATACAGGTTTCCTATGCGCTGTCTCCTTTGGCTCCTTCTCAGATGGCCCACACCTACGGCCGGTTGCTGCAGCACTGGAGGGATCGAGCATTAATGGGCCAGTCGGAGGCTCGCCGAGTCCTAGCCGAAATGCTAACGCCCTCAGGTGAGTTGTCAGCATGTGGTGTGTCCCTCTGGTGATCGCACAGGTAAAGGAATAGAAAACCTGCCTTACGGTGATAGACTCAAGGAACTCAATCTATTTAGCGTAACAGAGAGAAGATTATGGGGTGATTTGATCACAGTTTGTAAGTACCTACAGGGGGAGTAGACGTTTGATGATGGGCTCTTTGCTCTAGCAGAGAAAGGTCTAACACGATCCAGTGGCTGGAAGTTGAAGCTAGACAAATTCAGAGCGGGAGTAACAGGGAGAGTAATTAACCCTTGGAGCAACTTACCAAGGGTCGTGGTGGAATTATTGTGGGGAAGTTCTGGGCTCTGCTGTACAGGAGGCCAGGCAAGATGATCACAGTGGTCCCTGCTGGCTTTGGACTTTATGAATAAACGCCGAGCAAAGCTAGGGGTTTATTTGGAAACACGATGTGTGCACATGCCCCTGCCCTCTGCTGGCTGGAATCAGATCCCGTCCTATAACAGCTAGGGCTGACAAAGAGGTTAAAAGGCTCAATGGGACTTCTGGAGATTCTCTTGGCGTCGATGATTGTTT